GTATGAAGGAATAAAACATAATTATGTAAAGTTTTCATTAATAATTGTAATTGTAATTGATTTTGATTTGAATTTATTCAATCAAATATTCAAATCAAATCAATGAAATTGGCATTTAACAATGAAATTAATCAATTAGTTGATGAGATAATTGTGGATCTAAAACATAATAATTAGGATGTAATTATTCAATCAATTTAATTAATACATGCCACTTGTCAAAAGGAGGATGTCTCAATAATTAATGACCTTCCTTTTATCTAACGTCTACAGTTTTAATATATATATATATATATATATGATATATGATTAATTCAATATTAGTAATTAACAACTAAATAGCTTTAATGTTAATTGATTGTAATTGATCAAAATTTTCATTTAACAATTAATTAAATAGAATTATTACTAATTGATTTTAATTGATCAAATTATTCAAATAAATTAATTAATCAATCAAAAGTAATTAATATATTTCTCAATCAACCTAAAGTAATTAATTTATCTCCTTTTGTTCAACTTCCTCAGTTTTAATATATATATATATATATATTATATGATATGATATATATATATATATTATATATTATATATATAAATGTTGAATCCATGTGTCAGGAGGATTCTCAGGAGCATTATCAAGTAACTAGATAGCAAAGCTGCAGGGTATTAATTTTCGGAGAAATGGGAGGTAATGTCACACATCAAACAACAGGGGAGCCAAGCCAACAGGGAATCTCCTTATTTTTCATTTGTCCAGCTGATTGAAGATTATTTTCCTCTTAATTACTTGTCATTAATTAATTACAGATGGTGTAAAAGACAAACCAATTAAGGAAATTAAGTGGTACATGAGGGCAATGGCTACCCTTGTGGGGATCAATGGCATTATGGCAGCAAGGTCCAGGGATCAGCAGGTGGTGGTGGTGGCGGTGTCACCGAACTTCAGTACGATACAGTTCGGCCATTAAAAATGATGTCTAGAAGAGTTTGTCTCATGTGTTTCATTTGTTTTAATGTCTATGTGTTCAACGATAGTTTATATATACATCATATATAATTAAGAAGGGGGTTATATTATAAAACTGGTGACTTTCTAGAAAAAGTTCCAAAAAGAAAAAAAATATGCTACCTACCCATGGAGGATAGGTTACCGCCCCTTTTGAATCAACATCGTAGAGGGTGGGGGTGCCACCCATAATCAAGAGCCAGACGGCTGGCTGGGACGAAGGACATTCCTCGCTTGTCCAGACATTGCTTTAGGCTAGGTGGGCAACATCAGCATCTAATCTTGGCTTTTATAAACAGGATACAAATCAAGTGTTTTCTCCATGTGGGATACATATATATTTAGGCTATTATAAACATTAACACCTAAAATTAGAACATAAGTGTTTATGTTGTTCATGGTCTTGGTCTGTGTAGAAACAATTAATGTTGATGAAGCAGAAGCAGAAGCATTGCTTCCAATATTGGTGAGGCCCTGTGTCAATTTCTTTGTTGTTCATCTACTTTTTCTTTTACATGAATCAATCAATTGGGAAGGTGTTTTATGCTTTTTGGGGTTCTTTATACTTGGCATTTGGAAGACAACCTAATGGATTTCTTTCTTTTGTTTCTTTTCTTCCATAAATATTGCTTCTAATTTTTTATTCCCATAAAGATTAATTAGTTCAGGAATGCATTGTTGAAGTGGAGTGGCTTAAGCAAGTTAATTAGAAACCAAAACTGAAGCAAGTTAATTAGAAACATATATATTTAGCAAAGTTAAAGAAGATTCAGTGAAGAAGTTTTTGGTCATGGTTGATGCTTTGTAATGCTTGGGCATTGATTACCATTTCCAGGAAGAAATCAAACAAGTTTAAGGACTCAGTTCCTGACATGTCAATTTTGATCTTTACATTCATAATCTTTATGAAATTTCACTACGATTAATTAGGTTACCGATCGAGACAAGAAGAATATTATGCTCCGGTAGGTGGATTTATGTTATATATAATTTTCTGATAGAAAAACTACAAATATTAAACAATTTTGATGTGATGAATTAGGCAGGAAAATTAGAACCAATAGTTAAAGACATCAAAGGATTGAAGGCGGCATTGAAGCTTCACAGTTAAGCATTATAAGATGAGTACATATATTATATATGGCAAATTATACAATACACTGCGGTGGACTAGATTGAAATATTTAAAACTTAATCAATTCAAAAAAGGGACATGTGTCAACTCCACAAGCCGCTTGTGGAGTCCAAAATTTACACCGCCGGTGTATCATATAATCACCCATTATATATAATTGATGAAGCAGGAGCCTTCAGTTACTGGATGCTAAATGAATGGATGACAAATCTTGATTATTATTATCATCAAGCCAATATTGTTGCAAATACATTTTTATGATGTGTATATAAAAATGGATCTCAACATTAATTGTTCAGTCCATGTATTATCTCAAGTACTTCCTGCCATCAAAAGTTCTGCCAAGTATGGAGGTGAAATGCTGTGGTCTAGGTACTATGGAGGTGAAAGTTCAGTCTATGTGTTCTTATATATACATCACATCATATAATTAGGAAGGGGTTGTTATATTATAAAACTGGTGATTTTTTAGAAAAAGTTCCAAAAAGAAAAAAAAAACTACCTAACTTGGAGGATAGGTTTCACTTTCTTATTGCCAAAAAAAAAAAAAACCATGGAGGATAGGTTGCCGCCCCTTTTGAAATCCTTTTGTTGGTTTGCTACCCAACCATAGAGGATGGGTGCCCTCCCATAGTCTAGAGTCGGGTGGCTTGTTGGGGCGAAGGTTTCTCGCTTGTCCAGACATTGCTTTAGACTAGGTCGGCGATGTAACAGTCTAATCTAGGCTTTCGTAATCAGAATAGAAATCAAGTGTCTTTTCGGTGTGGGATTAGGCTAATGGATTTCTTTCTTTTGTTTCTTTTCTTCCACAAATACTGACTCAACTCAAACCCCTATCAGAACTATATATATGAAGGCTCATTACTATATGGCTTCTTTATGAATGCATTCTTGGAGTGGAGTGGCTTAAATTTAACTTAGTTACTTTCTATATCTTCCATTTACACTTACTTCCTTAATGCTAAACATAATGTATTCTTTCTCCTCCCCAGTATGTTTGTAACACACAAAATTTCTAGGTCTAAAAATAAGACAAGAAAGATTGGAGCCAAATAATAATTTTATTGATTGATGAATGCAGGTACAATCTTTGGAAATTCTAATAATAAGAAATTGTCCTTGATTCTTCTCCTTCGCAAAATTCTGCTTCAAGATTTGCTTCAAGGGTCAAATGACTTGATCTTGAACTTGATGATAATTTCAGAGTTTGATTTGATTTAATTCAAGGGTCAAATGACTTGATCTTGAATTGATGAGGGAGTTTGATTTGATTCGAGGGTCTTTGATGACTTGATCTCGAATTGTTGATAATTTGACTCAAGGGTCGAATGACTTGATCTTGAACGAACACAAATAATCTCTTCAAATATGTTGATGAAGATCAAAATAAAAATTTCTTGAAAGCGAGCTCCTGTAAATCTTTGATAATTCTTCAAAATAAAAATTTCTTGAAAGCGAACTTCTGTAAATTTTTATAATCTTCCTTGGATCTTCTTTGAAAGAAAAATCCTCCACAACTGGGTCTTCAGTAATTCTCCAATAATTGAATCTTCTACGTGGATTTTCTTTCAATAATCCTCCTTGGATCTTCTGGAGACTTTGTTTTTCAGCTTTGCTTCTCTGCTTTCTAAATTGTGTGTCTTGAAAATGACTTGGGAGCTTGGTATTTATAGTGGGGGATGAAGAGTTTCAAGATAACTTAATTTCTCCTTGTTATTTATCTCTAAATAATTAATTTTAATTAGAGATAAATAAGATGACACAACAGTGAATTCTGATTGGTTAATGCTTGAAACCTTGAGATTTGATTGGCCAGATGATGCAATTTATTTACCAATTATCTCAATTTAATTAGAGATAAATGGTGATGACTCACAACTTAATTTTGATTGGTCAAACCATTAAACATGGAAATTTAATTGGTTAGACCATGTGTCATATATTTATCTACCATTTTTCCTTAGAAAATAACCAATAAATTTAAGAATAAATTCTCAAAATAAATTTGTAAAGAATTTCTGATTGACCAAAATTTCTTACTCTACAATGTTGACAATCAGAAATAAGGGGTATATATATAATAATTAGATTCATTTTCAGCTGTTAAACAATCTCATGTTTGTCACATTGATTTTTCTAGCGATGGGGCGTTTTAGAAATAGTGAATACCATGGAGTAATCACCTTGATATTTGACTCTTCCATAAATTGGAACAACTTTTGGACTATTCCATGAAGTAACACTTTCATAATGTTAAGCGGCCTGTTAAGACCGTATAATTTTAGCCAATTTAAAAGTACTAATTTGTTATATAGATATATGGTCCTTTAATTTTCATCATGCCATGCATCAAAAGTTCTGCCAAGTATGGAGGAGTAACATACTGATCAATCCGGATACAATTCGGCCATTAAAAATGATGTCTCTACAAAATTATGTTCAACAATGTTTTATATATACATCATATATAATTAAGAAGGAATTATATTAAATAACAGTGGTGATATGTTCTTGAGAAAGTTACAAAAAAAAAAATACTACATATCCATAGAGGATATGTCACCACCCCTTTTATATCTCAATTTTGTTGTTTGCTACCCAACCATGATGGATGGGGGTACCCTCCATGGTCTAAAGCCGGGCGGCTGGAGTCTGAGCTTGGACGAAGGATCGAATGATCACTTGGCCCCAGACAATGCTTTCGACTAGGCGGGCAATTTAAACACTTAATCTTATTTTTTTTTGGCAACAAAGAAAGGAATATATTGATATAGAAAAAAGTCGTTACAGATACCAGTAGCATAAGAAAGATTGAGAAACAATCTAAGGGCCTATGCTACAAACAGAAAACAGAAATTAACAATGGGGAGCTGGTAGTCCATCTTTGTTCAGAATTTGCACAAGAGAGGAAGGTTGATACCGGCTTAAGTCGGCAAAGCTCATCTCTGTTCTAGATCTGGTAGCAATCCAGTCCGCCGCCAAGTTGGCGTTTCGCTTCACAAAATTAAATTTGATAGAATCAATACATGTTGAAAGATGATCAATATCTGCTAAGATAGGACCAATCCTCCAGTCTCTGTTCTTGCCCCTGTCAACAATATTCTTATATAAAACCTCAGAGTCCATTTCAACAATAATATTGGAAAGACGCATCTCTTTCGCCAGCTTCAAGCCTGTCTTGACAGCAATTGCTTCAATCATAAGAGCAGAATCCCCTTTCACTTGCTTGCCCAAACCATGCAACAAATGTCCCTCAGCATCACGAACTACCACACCAATTCCAGCTTGCTTAGACTGATGACAATATGCCCCATCACAGTTGATTTTACACCAACCATCCTGAGGTTTTTCCCAGAAGACTTCAGAGGCCACATCCCTGTCAGACTTCTTCTTGCCTGTACAAACCATATAGTACTCCTTCACAGCTGAAGATATCCACTGAATAGCTTTAACAGACTCCAGGCTTTTATGTTCAATAATGGCTTGGCATCTCAGATTCCAAATTATCCAACATGTATAAGCAATAGTAGATTTAATAATATCAACATCCCCATGAGAATTGTTCACCTCAAGAAACACTTCCAGAATCCATTGGTCCATTGTTCTAATTCTATCTTTACAAATCTTTAACCCAAAGCATCCCTCCCACCAAACCTTCCTTGTCCATTCACAAGTCAAGATCATATGCTCAATTGTCTCAACCTCTTGGCCACATAATTCACACAGAGGATCTTGTTTGCATTTCCTTTTCCAGAGATTTTCATTGGTAGCTAAAGCACCCATACACATTCTCCACATAAACACTTTAACTTTAGAGGGGGCTTTAATTTTCCAAATTTCCTTCCAAACTCTTTTATCAACCAAATGAGAGGATGATGCTCTGTTGATATTTCCAACAGCCACAACATTCTTACATGTCACATACCCACTCTTCACAGTAAATTTCCCAGATTTATCCTTGGGCCAAATAAGAATATCTGGTTCCTCACCCTCATGCACTGGAATGTCCTTAATGGCAGACTGTTCTTCTTCTGTTAACCAGTGCTGAATTTGATCAAGCTCCCATATACCCAGGTCTTTATTCATAATCTCCTCCACTTTCTGTGGAATATTGTCATTAATGAGTCCAGGATTACTCAACACTCTTCCAGCAAGATTAGGAATCCATCGATCCTGCCAAATACTAATCTGTTTACCATCCATAGGAACCCACATCATGTGCTCTTTAAAAAGGTCACGCCCCTCTAGCAGACTGCTCCATACCCAGGAAGGCCTAGCCCCTTTACCAGCTTCAAGAAAATCACAGTTATGAAAATATACTCCTTTTAACACCCTTGCCCATAGTGCATTAGGATTCTCAATTAACCTCCACGCTTGTTTTGCTAACATTGCCCTGTTGAAAGCCTCAAACTCCTTGAATCCCATACCCCCATCTTGCTTGAATTCAGTGAGTTTCTGCCAATTACACCAGTGTATCTTCCTCTCATCTTCTTTCTGCCCCCACCAGTAGTTAGCCACAGCAGATTGCATTTCTTTGCACACTCTCTTAGGAATTTTAAACACTGACATTACATATGTAGGCATAGTACACGCAACAGCCTTTATTAATATCTCCTTACCTCCCATCGGCAGAAATTTTTCCTTCCATCCCTTCAGCTTTGCAATCATCCTCTCTTTAACATAAGCCATAACACCATACTTAGTCTTGCCCCAGCAGTTCTGAATCCCAAGATAAGTACCAGGGTTGGCAGCTTCTTGTATCCCAAGGGTGTCAACAATTGCCTTCTTTTCAGCCTCACCCATGTTACAGCTAAAAATGAGACTTTATTGATTGAGATTGATCTTTTTGCCAGAGGCTGCAGAGTAATCCTGTATAATCTCAAAACACCTCTTGCAATTTTCAATATTAGCATTCATAAAAAACAAGGAGTCATCAGCAAACAGGAGGTGAGAAATTTCAGGGCAATTTATCGCTAATTTCAGACCTTCAATGTAACCAGTATCCATTCCTACTTGGATCAACCTAGAAAGGGCATCAATCACTAAGAGGAACAAATAAGGGGATAGAGGATCCCCTTGTCTAAGACCCCTAGAAGGAAGAATCATCCTACTTGATTTACCATTAATGACTATAGTATACGAGACACATCTCACACATTCTAAAATCCAATCAGTCCAAATACTATTGTAGCCTAGTTTTAGTAAAAGAGCATGCAAGAAATCCCATTCAACACGGTCATAGGCTTCACCTTCAAAAAATGAAAAGCTTCCTGAGCCACAACAATATTGTCATGAATTTGCCTTTTCTCCACAAAAGCACTTTGTTCTTCAGTAACAATATCACCAAGTAGGGGCTTCATCCTTTTAACAAGGATTTTTGAAATGATCTTATAGCTGTAATTACATAGGCTGATGGGTCGAAATTGAGTAATACTTTCAGGCCCCTTCACTTTTGGAATAAGAACAATCTCAGTAGCATTCATCTCCCTTAACATCCTACCTTTATGAAAAAAACTCCTAACCATCTTTTTAACATCCTCACCAATCACATCCCAATAATGTTGATAAAACAGCCCATTAAAGCCATCTGGACCAGGAGATTTGAGCATACCCATCTGAAAAACTGCTTGAACAATTTCCTCATCAGTAACATCCTTAATGAGCTCTGTATTATCTTCTTCAGATACAAGACAAGGGATAGCTTTCAGAACATGGTCCCAATTTCTGTTTCCTTCACTAGTAAAAAGATTCTCATAGAACTTACAAAAACCTTCCATAATACCTTCCTCTTTCTCCAACCAAACCCCATCTTCATTTTTAATTCTCAAGATCTTGTTGAATTGCCTTCTCTGTAAAGTAGAATGGTGAAAAAATTGGGTATTCTGATCTCCCCAGCTTAGCCAATTAATTCTCGCCCTTTGGTGCCAATATTTCTCTTCTTCCAGCCATATAGCATTCACCTGCTCTTTACAGCCACTGATCCACTTCACATCTTCATCAGAAACACACAACTCCTGCAATTTAGCAATTTCTTGAAAGAGTTCATCTTTCTGCTTTTTGTTCTTATTCTTCTCTCTGCACCATAATTTGATCAGTCTTCTGTACTCTTTCAATTTATGCATGAGTTGGTAAGCATTAGAGCCTTCCACTTGAGCATCCTAGCCTTGAACCACCACCTGTCTAATAGCCTCCATGTCAACCCATTGAGCTTCAAACTTAAATTTCTTAGGACCCTTAGTATCTCCAAAACAGGAATAAAGAACAATAGGAGAGTGGTCAGAGCGAATTGCAGCATGCACCACCAATTGTGACTTAGGAAAATTAGCCAACCATTGAGAATTGACCAGGGCCCTATCCAATCTTTCTTTAACCATGATACCCTCTCTCTTACCCATCCAAGTAAACTTTTGTCCCTGAAACTGAATATCAATAAGTTGGCATTGCTCCACCATCTCCTGAAAACATCTAATATATCTTCTGTCTTTCAGACCACCACCCTCCTTCTCACTATCATCCAAAATGTCATTAAAGTCGCCTATACAGCACCAAACCTCTTCAATATTTACAGCCTTAAGTTTAACTTTCTCCCAAATAAGTTTTCTATCTTCAAAAACAGGGGCACCATAGATCCAAAAAATTCTAAAGCTCACCCCAGAATTTACATCAACAATAAGAGTATCAACAAGATTCTTATGCTCCTCGAAACTATTAACAACAAAATTGTTCTTCCACCAAAGAGCAATACCCCCACTAAGACCAACAGGGTCAACATACAAAGCATTATCCATCTTAATATTTCTCCTTATTTTCTCCATAGTATCTTTTTTATTTTTAGTTTCCATCAGAAAAATAAAATCAGGGTCAGATTTCTTTTTCAAGTCATGAAGCACATTTACTGCCTGAGAGGACCCAATTCCCTGGCAGTTCCAAGAAACACCTATCATAATTCTTGGGTGGCTGTTGCAGGACAGCCACCAGAACCCTCAGCTCTAGACTTGCTCACTGGTTCATCATTCCACCCTAAAAATCTTCCAGCCGAGCAACCATCAATAATCAGGACATCAGAACATCCCTCCTCTTTGCTCCAATTCTCCCTACCATTCTTAGTTTTCTTATATTTCTTCCTACCAGCTCTTCTCTTCCAGATTGTCTCACTCCCGATTGTAAATGTAGTAACCTGTCTTATCTCCACAGGGTGCAGTTTAGCTTCAATAAGGGACCAATCTTGCTTGCTCCAAATACATTCCACCTCTGTTTTCCTTCTCTTAATAAAGTAGACTCAAATTCTTCCAGACCATCATTTTCAGCATTCCTCTTAAGTTGCAGACAGTTCAAATCAGCAGCTAGATTATACTCAGCCATTCTCATATCTTGCTCCACAAACTCCTCATCAAACTCTAACTCCTTGTGGCAATTAACAATTGCACCACCACCTCTTTCAATAATATAAGCCACATTATCAATTCCCTTAAAGGGAGAAGAAACTTCATCAAGCTCATGCTCAATGCCCGCCTCCTTGCTATTAGTATCCCATTCATAGGCATCCTCTCTACGTGTCTCAGGATATTTAGAAGGGTCATAAGGGCCAGGTAAGACAGGATAAAGAGAGGTATTATAAGAACCTAACGAGAGCATAGGTCCTGGAGTACCATCAATGCTGTTGGAATGAGAAAGAGAAGGAATAACAGGGTCCTGATCATTAGGAACAAGTACATGTGGCATAGGATTGTTCATAAGAGGTGTAGAATCAGATGTCAAAGCTCCAGAAGTACCAAGTATTTGAGAATTAGGTTTATCAATAAGGGTGGGATTTTTAGAGACAATAGGCAAGGGAGGAAAATTAAAGGTAGTATTAAGTGGATCAACACCAAGAGCATGAGTGGGATCAGGATTTAGTGAGACAACTGGTATAGAAATATGAAGATCAGCAGGTAAAGGTTTAGGCAAAGAAGGATGAGAAGGAGGCGTAGTCTCATCAATAGGACCAGTATTCTGATTCTCAAGTCCATCCGTAATCAACAATTGCTTTCCTTTGTTCATACTCACCTCAGACTCAACCTCCATATCTCCAATAACATTCCTCCTCCAAGCCCTCTGGTTTTCATTTTTACTCCAATTATCACAAGATACTTCTCTTAAGTTCTTCACATTTTCATTTATACTTAAGGATAGATCATCCGCAACTCGACTCTTACTACTATCCATGCTATTATCCCTCTTACCATAGTCCATTCTAAAAGAGCTAGCCCTTAAATGAGGACCATACAGGGGCCTGCCATCCATATCGTTTTTTACTTCTTCATCACAGTGCTTGGCCAAATGCCCAAGCTTCCCACATGAGTAGCAAAAGTCCGCCAGCCTCTCATATCTGATCTTAGCCCACAGTTTTCCTCTATTCCTCCTCGGTACCCAGAAACCACAAATAAGAGGGTCATCTACTTTTATTCCCACTCTAATTCGTAGAAAACTCTGACCAAACCCCTTTAGCCCTGTTGGCTCATCAATATTTATAACAGAACCAATTGTCTGTCCAATAATTTTCGCATTCTTGTTCGACAACATTTCCAGAGGCAAATCATGAATCTAGACCCAAAAAGCTAACTCAGAAAACTCAATCTCAGACACAGTAATATCACTATCCCATTTTTGAAGATTCATACAAAAACCCATAATAGACCAGAGACCTTCTTCAATAACTCTGTCCCTAGCCTTTTCAGATCGGAAAGAGATCCCGTAAATATTGTCACCTACTTCGCGAATACCCGGAGCAATCTCCTCGGACCATATGCTACGAAGAATCGCCATCACTCCTTTTTGATTAAGAGTCTTATTAGCATGAATCTTCCCAACAGCCATGAATCGTGTCCATTGAGGACATTCCTCATCACCAGATTCCAAAACAATCTCCAGATCCATAGCTTTGTTAACAGGATTCATTGCAGCTCAAATAATAAAACTAGACACAAATAGTAAACGACGACAGGAAAGAAAACGAGCAGTCTCTACGACTATAACCACAATAAGAAAAAACAAGCAGGGAAAAGACACAGAAGCAAAAGCAGGAAGTATGAAAAAGAACCTAGGCTCACTAACAAGCTTAAGAAAGGCACTAGACTCAATCAAAAAGAAAGATCCAGCTCTAACAGACACGAACAAGAAAAACAAAGAAGAAAAAAAGAAAAAAAACAAGAGAACCTACCTCAGCGTCGCAAGAACCACCAGAGACGCCGATCACTTGTCGATCTACCACCGTCAATTCCGGATCAAGAGAATCGTCGATAGCTCAAGAGATCAACTAAGAAGAAAATCCAAACAAACAATCGAAAACCTAAGAACCTATGGATCTGAGACAAGACTCAGAGGAGAACTCGAAAAAATCGAGTAACCGTCGCCTCAGAAAGAGAGAAAAAACTGCCAGCGCATGCAGAGCCCATTTAAACACTTAATCTAGGCTGTTAAAAAAGAGGTACAAATTAAGTGTTTGTTCGATGTGGAAATAATCTATTATAAACTAAACATTATAGACTTGAGCTGAGGGCTTTTTGTTCTGAGTTTTATAATTGAGTATTATTGTGAATGATTGACAACTTCTTTTTTTTCGTTTGGTCAGACTATATTTTCCAATCTCCAATCCAAAATTCATTTTAAATAGTTGGATGATTTGTTTGTTATATTTTCTAGTTAGATGGAAAAAAATTGATTGACCAAATATCAAAGTCTCTTTTTTAGAAATGGTGAATCATGGAGTAATCACTAATCATGTCCTTATTAATACTAATACCACTATTTAATTTGGTTTCACAATTTGACTTGTTGCTTGTCAATTCACCCCATTGAGGCATTGACTCCTCAAAAAGAGTCCAACCAAAATACTACGTACTACATAATAACTCAACGTTAATTGTGGAACATTCTAGATCCCTCACCGACAAAACCATCACCCTTGAGGTAGAGAGCTCCGATACGATCGACAATGTCAAGGCCAAGATCCAAGATAAGGAGGGCATCCCTCCTGACCAATAGGGATTGATCATCGCCGGCAAGCAGTTAGAGGACGGCCGCACCTTGGCGGATTATTGTTGTGATATTTTAATATAATGAGTTTTTATTAAATTGATTTGTTTTTAATAACTGAGATAATTTAATGTTTTTTAAAAACTCCTTGTAAGTTTTTAACTCATTAAATTAACTTAGGTTATTAATTAAATATAAGTATTTTCTATCTTCATTTTCCTATAAATAGCATATCTACTTCATTTGAAAATATATCGAGCAAATTCCAAAAAGCTCATTTGCTACTTTCAAAAAGGAAAAAGAAAAACCTTCCTAAATCTTTTTAAGAGTTTTCGCTAATTGGGTGAAGAAGGTGTCGGTTTTGGTAGAGTTTCTACCTTCTAACTCGTGCAGGTTAGAAAGGTGTACAGTGGGTGACTGGGCTTGTTGTATCCTGGGGGACGGCGTGCAGTGAAACCTCTTTGCACCGGTTTAATTACCGAGATGGCGTGTATCGTCTCAAGAGAGCGATCTAGTCCGTGCCTCAATCTCTGTCACCCCTTTTACTTCTACTTTTGTAGAACCTTGGCTACAAGATTGTGATCATCCAGTCCTTTCCGGTGGTGCTGTATTACTTCATTCTCCAACAATTTGAGACGATCATTTACCAATGGAGAATTCTATTGAAAGCTTGCCCAAGAGTAATCAAGCCGGTGACCTCAACCGCCCATTTCGCTTTAATGGTGCTAACTATAAAAGATGGAAGCAGAAGACTTTTTTCTACCTCACTCTTTTGAATGTGGCTTACATTCTGGTGGAAAAGAGTCCTAAGAAAAAAGACACTCAAGACATGACCGATGAGGAGAAAGCTGAGCACGAGACAATTGTGAAGAAATGAGAGAAAGACCATAATTACTGCAGAAATTACTTACTGAACTGTCTTTCTGACAATTTATATGATTATTATGATCAAGCTTATTCTTCAGCGAAGAAAATATGGAAAGCGCTGCAACAAAAATATGACACCGAGGAAGCTGGATCCAAAAAGTATGCTTGTAGCCGCTATTTCAGATTTCAGATGGTGGAAAACAAGTCTGTGATAGAACAAGCCCATGATCTCCAAATGCTTGCCCATGATGTTCGTCGTGAAGGCATAAAAGTAGATGAACAAATGGAAGTTGCTGCCATTATTGACAAACTGCCCGACTCTTGGAAAGAATTTGGGAAGGTTTTACGCCATAAACAAAAGGAGGTTTCTATCGAGTCCTTAATCATGCGCTTGAGAGTAGAGGAGGAGCATAGAAAACAGGACAATTCGCCAGACTTCCATGGCACAAGCTCGAAGGTAAATCTTCTCACTTCTAATGATAACATGCCAAGGACTTCTAATAAAAATTGAAAGTTAAAAAGTATTTTAATAAAAAGAAGTCATATAAAGGTCAAATTGATCAGAAGAGAAACCAAGGACCACCTTCCGAAAAAACACCAAACAATAAAAGATTTGATGGGTGCTATGTTTGTGGCAAACCTGGACATATTGCAAGGCTATGTCATTTTCGGAAACAGGAAACTTCAAATGAGGTTCATGTTACCGAAGAGCCACTTACGGCCATGATATCTGAGGTCAATGCCATTGATACTTCTGAAGGATGGTGGGTAGACTCTGGTGCCTCAAGGCATGTCTGCTATGACAAAACCTGGTTCAAAACTTATTCTTTCTTTGAAGTAGAGAAGAAAGTATTGCTTGGTGATTCCCACACCATTAATGCCCTGGGTTATGGTGAAATTGAGTTGAATTTCACTTCTAGTAAGAAATTGACCTTGAAAGATGTTTGGCATGTTCCTAATATTAGAAAAAATCTAGTTTCTGGTTTTCTCTTGAATAAGGCCGGATTCAAACAGATTTTTGAATCTGATCAGTTTATACTGATGAAAAAGGGCATGTTTGTTGGGAAAGGTTATGCTTGTGAAGGCATGTTTAAACTGAATGTTGAAATGAATGAAATTTCAGTTGTTTCTGCTTATATTGTTTCTTGTATTAATGTTTGGCATGCTCGATTATGTCATGTTAATTCTAACTATGTGAAAAACATGAGCAGTTTAGGATTAATTCCTAAACTAGAAAATCAATTTGAAAAATGTGAATCATGCAGCATGGCCAAAATTACTAGAAAACCTTTCAGAAGTGTGGTATGAAATTCTGAATTGTTAGATTTAATTCACACTGACATTTGTGAATTTGAAGGGATTTTGACTCGAGGTGGAAAAAGGTATTTCATAACCTTTATTGATGATTTTTCAAAGTATTCATATGTTTATCTTATGAAAAATAAAAATGAAGCCTTTGAAAAACTAACCACTTATATAAATGAGATTCAAAATCTTTTTGGCAGAAAAATCAAGAGGTTTAGAAGTGACAGAGGAGGTGAGTATGACAATCTTGGATTAAATTCTTATATCCAATCCTTGGGAATTGTTCATGAGACTACACCTCCATATTCTCCTGCCTCAAATGGAGTAGCAGAACGCAAAAACAGAACTCTAATAGATTTGACTAATTCAATGTTGGTGAGCGCTGGGGCTCCCAAGAACTTATGGGGAGAAGCAGTTCTTACTGCTAATTATGTCATGAACAGAGTACCACATAAACACTCACTCAAAACACCTTATGAATTTTGGAGGGGTCATAAGCCAAACTTGAATACCTAAGAGTTTGGTGTTGTCTTGCCTTTGTTAGGCTTCCAGATCCTAAAAGACCAAAACTTGGTAGTAAGGCCTCCAGATGTGCATTTATGGGTTATGCTTTAACCAGTAAAGCATATAGATTTCTTGATCTTGAAAACCATGTTATGATTGAATCCCTTGATGCCATCTTTCATGAAAACACTTTTCCTTTTAAAACTAAAAATAGTGGGGGTGTTGAAAATGAACAAACAGTTATCCCTCAGCCTATAAACAGTCAACAAGCTTTTGATAAAACTACCTCAGAACCCACAAAAGAAGATGAACTTGAAATTGAACCTAGAAGAAGTAAAAGAGGAAGAATAGTAAAAGACTTTGGCTCTAAGTACCATGTGTATAATATTGAAAATGATCCTACCACTATTGATGAAGCCTTATCCTCTCTAGATTTAGCCTTGTGGAAGGAAGCCATCAATGATGAGATGGATTCTTTGATGACCAACAAAACTTGGAAACTAGTTGACTTACCACCAGGTAGTAAAGCTATTGAGTGTAAATGGGTACTAAGAAAGAAATTGAGACCCGATGGCTCAATTGACAAATATAAAGCCAGGCTTGTAGCCAAAGGCTTTAGGCAAAAGGAGGACATTGATTTCTTTGACACATTTTCTCCCGTAAGTAAAATTACGTCAATAAGAGTTCTAATTGCAGTTGCTGCTATCCATGACTTAATAATCCATCAAATGGATGTGAAAACAGCTTTCCTAAATGGAGAGTTAGAAGAAGAGATATACATGGAGCAGCCTGAAGGCTTTATTGTGCCAGGTAATGAAAATAAAGTATGTAAGTTACTAAAATCATTATATGGTTTAAAGCAAGCTCCAAGACAGTGGCATGAAAAATTTGACATGTGTCTACTTTCTAATGGTTTTAAAACCAATGAAAGTGATAAGTGCATATATTATAAATCAGAGAATGATTCACATGTCATTATTTGTTTATATGTTGATGATCTCTTGATATTTGGAACTAATCTTGAGATTATAATTTCTACCAAAATGTTGCTTACTAATAATTTTGATATGAAAGATTTAGGGAAAGCAAATGTTATTCTGGGCATGAGGATCACAAGGACTTCAAATGGTATTTTCCTAGACCAATCTCATTATGTGGAAAATTTTTTGAAAAAATACAAATTCTTTGATTGCAAACCCTTGTGCTCTCCTTTCGACCCGAATATACATTTATTTCCTACAGAAAAT